CTTCCCTTCCCTTCCCTTCCCTTCCCTTCCCTTCCCTTCCCTTCCCTGTCCCCTTCTGCTTCCCCAAGACAGAAATTAGAAGATGTGATTGGATTGAAATTTTAAGCATGAAAAGAAATTAGAACCAACCTGGAAATAATTATAGAACCCTTTGCATGCCATTCATGGGAAACTTGATTAATTTATCTAACTAATGAATTCTTTTGCTATTTACAGTCAGCATCAGGGAGCCATCCAGACACATATGTGGTAGATACAGCAAAAGAATAATGCATTTCATGGTCTGTTTGTGAGATATGAGCAGACAGATGCAAATAGATGGAATGAAAGTGGAGAGGTGAAGGGGAACAAATAAATTGACTTCAACAGCAAAAAAAGGAAAGTAATACATCTTTGCATAAGCGATGCCAGACAAGCATGTTCATCCCATCCCACAGTAGGATTATTTCCTACAGCATATTCATGATTGCTTTGTCTACTCTGGTTTTAATGTTTCAAATTATGGGGATTCCACCATTTCCTTTGAGAGCCTCCTCTGAAGTCTAATGCTGCTCATCCCCTGGAAGCTTTCCCTGATATGTGTTTCAGCTGCTGTTCCTATTTCCATTACATTACTCAGTTAGATCCTCTTTACCCTGCTTTCCTCCCAGCTTCAACTTCCCTGGTGCTTCTGCCTTTCAAATCATCATGGGCAGCTGTTTGGGCCATCTCTGCTGTTGTTTCACAAACTGAGTAAGCATTTCTGTAATCTCTCCTTATAACCCAGTCCCTCCAGGCAGATGATTATTTTGGTTGGTTTTTTTTTAATGCCTCCTGCTTTTGACTCTTTTTTTGCTACATTGACCAAATTCCCACTCCCCCCTCTCCCAGACAGAAGAGAAGCTGATCTGTTCATTCACAGACACAGTCCTCTTGTTTTTGCTAAGGTGTGCAGGAGACACACATATTTTAGGTGCTTTAAGTTAACAGTGTCTCTACACAAGAGCTTTTCCTTTCCCTAAATATTTTTAGTGCCTTGTCCTTTTCCTAAAGTTGACATATACTGACACACTGATATACTGTGAATGTTCTCTGGCATAGACCTGGCCTTGGGCTAAATCCCTGCAAATGTGGATACATCTTCTGCTGTGAGAGAGCTGGGAAAAAGATTTTTACATAAGCAAGGTGAGTTCTGTGTGGTCCTTCAGAGGTTTCACTCAGGTACCAATACCATAAGGTGATCCACAGTCAACAGTAGGATTTGGCTGCTACACATGTACTCTTAAGTAAAAATACACTTCTTTCTGACCTAATTAATCAGTGCATCCAAAATGCAAACAGTATCCTGCTCTTCTTGGAGTCTAGAACTTTCCCAAGTCACAACCTCTTATCTATAAACCTAAAAGGATCTATGAATAAAGACCAGCAAGTCAAAAGTCCTGACTTGCTTCTTTTTCATTGCAATTTCAGTGTTTCATCAAAATTATTGTGCAAGTTTATATGCTTGAGATTTCCTTCCTGGAGACTGGGCTCTGACACTTTGCATAAATAAGAAATGTCTCCTCTAGAGACAGCCCAAGGGGAATCAGTGGGCTTTCCAGAGGAGGCTGCCATGGCCCCATGCATGTCCCCATGTTGGAGCTGTCAGAGCCCCATGTCAAGGCTCCCACAGCTCTCACCTCTGCCTGCACCAGCCCCAGGTGATGGGATGGCCCTGCCTGCCCAGGGGGCCCTTCAGACCCCAAAGGCTCTCCACAGGAGCCAAGACCAAGGACATCATCCTGACTGACTGTTTGCTGAATTCAGCCATTTCCACTTCTGCTGGGTGGCATCCAAGCCCAAGTGATCACTCTTCCTTTCAAAGCACCCAACAGCTGGAACCCTGGGCTTGTCATGGAAGAGTCAAGAAAATTCAGTCACAATGTGAATGTTCAACCACTTCTCTTTAGGTCCCTTTGTACAACTTCCTGAAAGGAAAAATTTGGAAAGTGGTGTAAAGAGCAGCAGTACAGAGTCTGTAACGATCAGGGAACAAGTTAAATACTCGTATCAGCACTGGGGAAGTTGCAACTCAGAGATGCACACTGGTGAAGGCAGCAGGACCACCACAAAGCCTTCCCTTGCCTCCCTGCTGGCTGCCTCCATCACACGTGAAAAAGCCACTCCTGCAGTGTGTGATTCTCTCAGCCTATTTCATCCCACTGCACACAATAAACAAACAAAACTCAGATTCTCAGGTAGGAACCCTGGAGCATATTTGGATTTAATTGCTTTTCTTTGTTTAGATCTGGATGTAATGAACAAGAAAAACCTGGATATTTTTTTGAATGTCTGTATTTGAAACATGCAGTGTTCAACTAAAGGTAAAAATTCTTACTCCTGGCCAGCACAGTTCTGGAGAAGAGGCATTTGTATGGCCCTAAATAATGTGTGTCACCATGCTGCTGAAAGCAATGGCCCTTCTCAAAGGAGCCTGACCAGGTGGGTTTCCTCCTCACTGCATTGAAGAGAAACCCACCAGAGGTTACAAGAAAACAACATATATGACAATGAAACAAACAGCAGCACCATGAAATTAAGGGACACTGTGTGTGCTCAAGCCTTGTTTACAGCAGGCAAACTCACCAAAGTCTCCCAACCTGTTCTGCTGCTGGTCTGGCTGGAGTGATGCTGGCATGGGCCACGGCTGGGTGTGAACAGCTCTCCAGTCTGGGGCTGGCAACCAGTGAAAACAGGAGAAACCACCAGCCCTGCACACGCTGCAGGAATCACTCCAGTGCTAGTGCCTGTGCAGCACAGCTGTGCCATGACATTATTTGGTTTCCTTCCACAATGTCATAAAATACTACTTTGTTTAGTATAGTTGCAGCCTAAGCTCTATCTTTTCAAGAAACTCCTACATCCTTTTCTGTCCCTGACTAGAGCAGTAAACTGGTAAGTCAAGGCTCACCTGGGGAGGGTTATGATTTTTCCTTTCTCCTGACATTGTGTCCCACAAGACCTGTCCTAGCTTTGGGATTCCCAAGGATTTTTGAAACCGCCGGTGCTGTGGTGTCTTGCTCCTTCCTTCTCATGAGGGATTAAAACAACCCACCAAATCTAAGCCAAACTACTAACCCCAGCCCAAACAAAAAAAAAGAAAGAAAATACGTACAGGGGAAAACAAGGAAGATGCTCCTTGCGGAATACATTTGTTGATTTGAAAGGTAGTTTTATTAAATGTTTTCAAAACATTCCTTCTTTTGTTGGAGTGGTGTAATTAAGAGTCCTCAGTCCTTCTTACTGTGTTCCCCAGATATTGGCTCAGTGTCAGCTGGTACACGTGTCAAATTCATTCATTATCATCATATTAAAATTGCTACACTTCCATGGCAATGTCTAACCATGGTTTAGTGATATACACACCAGAATTGCCATAGCTTGTTTGGAATGGAATGGAATGGAATGGAATAGAATATAATAGAATAATTTCGGTTGGGAAAGACCTCTAAGATCATGGAGTCCCACTGCTAACCTGACACCGTGCAGTCCTCCATTGGCTGTACGCAGAGAATAGGTGTGAAGATAGGGGTAGGCTAGAAGTTGTTCGGCAGGTGGGGAAGGAAAAGGGGGCACAGGGTTTCGGAGCCAAATCTCCGCCTGCCTCGAGCACATCACTCCTTCCCCGCCTGCCTCGTGCAGCCCCGGTCCTGGGTGCTGGCATGAGTGGAAGCCAGTGCAGCTCTGCCCGGGGTCCCCCCGCACCGCCGGCCCCGCACCCCCGACTTCACACACCCCGGCCCCGCACATCCCGGCCCCTCACACCCCCGGCCCTTCACATCCTTCACACCTGGCACACCCCCGTTCCCTCACACCCCGGTCCCGCACACCACAGGCCCGGCACACCCCTCACACTCCTCACACCTCTCACGCCCCGCACACCCCTCACACCCCCATTCCCTCACACCGTGCCTCACGCCCTTCACACCCCCGGCCCCTCACACCCCGCCGACCCCCGGCAGCGGCGGCCCCGGCGCGTGGGGCGGGCGGGGCGGCCCGAGCAGCGCGGGGCGCCCCCTGCGGGCGGCGCTGGGGCGGCGCGGTCACGTGGATGTGACAGCGGCAGTGCCCGGCCAGCCCCAGTCGCGGCAGCGGCACCGCAGCGCCAGCGCCGCCGCCAGCCCGAGCCGGGCGGGGACAGCGGGGCCGGGGCCGGGGCGAGGCCAGGGGGAGCCGCCGCCGCGGTGCCGGGCGGCGGCGGGCGGGGGGTGGGCCGGGCGCGGCGAGGATCCGATGCGGAGCGATCGCGGGCGGGCGGCGGGAGCAGCCATGGCGGGGCCCCGCTGAAGGAGGCGGCGAAGGAGGAGGAGGAGGAGAGGGGAGGAGAGGAGAAACCTCCGCATTCCCTCCCTCCGCGCCCCGTCCCCCCGTGCGGACCGCCCGCCCGCCCGCCTCCCCCTGCATGCCCGGCTGAGACCGCGGGGAGGACTCAGCCACCCGCCGCGGCCCCGCCGCCTTCCCGCGCCCCGCCAGCCGCGGACAAAGGGGGAGAGCGGGCAGCCAGAGGAGGGGAGAGCCCGTCCCCGCCGCGCGAGCATGGCGGACCGCAGCCTGGAGAGCGTGTCCCTGCCGCTGGAGGTGCGGGCCCGGCTGGCCGAGCTGGAGCTGGAGCTCTCCGAAGGTAAAGGCGCGGCGGGGTGGGCGCGGGCGGCGCGGCAGCGGCGCGGCACCCCCGGCCCGCTCCCCCATCGCGCACCCTCCGCCCTGCGGCCCTGCGGGGCCGGCCCCAGCCCGATGGCGCCCAGGGGCTCCCCTGATGGCCCCTGCCCCTGTCGGGGACCCCGGCGCGGGGGTTTTGTTCTACCTGCGAGCCCCCCGCGCTCCGGCGCGGCG